GTGGGTTCTGGCTAGACCTTCCAGTATTCATGGACTGGTAATGAACTCAATGAGAAAATGTATACTGAGAAATCCCACCGGGCTGTATTGCATGTTTATTGCTCGTCTATTGTCACTTTATTGCTCATTTATTGCTACCATATTGTTTTTGTATTGCATGTTTATTGCTCGTCTATTGCACTTTATTGCTCGTTTATTACTACCATATTGTTTTTGAGCAGTGAACTAATCCCAGATAATTAGTTCCAGAATTGGGGGCCAACCGCCAAGAAACTTGCTCATTTCATTCCAATCTTTCAAAGTAGAATTAGAAGCATTGCAGTTTAAGTTTTTTGAGCTAACTCAAAGCAAATTGATCAAAGAAGCAATGAGAACTTACACGAACCGTGGAGCTCTTGTACAAAAAATGCAGCGAGCAATGTGGGTTGGTGAAGAGGGTGATGATGATGCAGTATTTAACGTTCGCTGTTGACCGTTTGATAGTTACTTAAGTAGCTCGTTTGTGAGAGAGAGAGAGAGCCCTATCAATGAGAGATATTGAGACATTTGAATTTACCTGGTTTGGGAAAAACTGCAGCTTGTCAGGCCTAATAGAGAAGACAATGTGATGTGCCTCCCTATCAACTTTGACAAGAAATAAGAAGAAGATGCACTAGCAATGGCATGGAAAACCATCAAAGCTACACCTTTTGAAAACCCCAAAAAGGGAACTAGCAAGCAAAGACATGAATACAGTACCAGAAGCAAAAACAAAAGCAAAATAAATAAACCAATAAATGCCAAACAGCCATTGCAACAAATGAAAAGGAAGTAGGGACAATGATTTTGTGGGGTAAATAGTAGCAGTACAATATTTTTGTGGTTTGGAAACCTCTCTCAAGATTTCATCAACCAATGGGGTCTATGAAACTCATGGTCATCATAAAGAAAAACAAAACAATACCATTCAGACTGAGGCCAAATAAAAAAAGAAAATGCCATTCAGATTGAGAATTCAATATGATTGTCAATCATGTTGAAAGAAAAAACTGTGTAACCTAACATGAATTATATATAATCTATAATGTCCAGAGCAGTCAAACTAT